TTACAGAACATTTTTTATGATAAAAAGTAAGATACAGTAATTGTAGAAACTTTGGAAATACAGATATTTTAAATAAGAAATTTTAAATTATCCTAGAAATAATCTATGTTAACTATTTAGCATACAAAATTAAAATCACATGGAACATACAGTTTTACACCTTGTGTTTCAAAATAATGTTCTGTTGCCTTTTCCTATGTCATCAAATGTCTTTTTACGATGATTCACAATTCGCACTGTTGGATAAACCATGATGCATTCAACCAACCCAGTGTTGTTGGGCACTCGGGTTGCTTCTAGTTTTCACTGTTATAAGTATCGCTGAGATGAACCTAAACCTTTCCTTAGGATATATTCTTGGAAATTAAATTAATTACTGGGTAAAAGGATATGAATTTTAATGTTTTGGCTACATATCATCTAGTGACTTCCCAGAAAAGCTTGACAAATTTGAGCTCCCAGTAGCAAAGTAGTGCCCCTCTCACCACCACATCCTTGCCAACATTGAATATTATGGTATGGGTTTGTTTTGTTTTTACAAGGCATGAGAGAACTAATCTTGATAGTATTTGATGTTTTAAAAAATCAGCTCCTAGCCATATCATTTTGGAAATTTCAGCAAGGATATATCTACCAAATAAGTTATTTTCATGTTTCCAAGACCTTAAGTGTTAGAGTCAGCTAGTCTAATGCAGGTGTTGTGAATACTATCTAGGAAACCGTTTATGGCTATTTTAAACATTACTCTGGAATTATTTATAATCCCTTATTGCATCTTCTGAATCTATTGAATGTCCTAGATTTTTTTTTTTTTAACTTTCATTGGCTTGGCTACCAAAATAACTCATGCGGTTTTGGGAAGCCACCCTCCATGCGCTAGTCGAAGGTCCAGGATGTGAGTGTTTCTGGGAGGCACTGAGTTTCAGGGGGAAGCCTTGGCACGGTGTTCTTTAAGACCCGCGATCTTAGCTGACCCTTAACTCTTACAGCCTTGAAACTGGTTTCCTTCTATCCCAACTGGGTCTGTAGTACTTTGTGCTTTAATGTTTTAAGGGTCAATCGTGTAAATTATAATGATAACAGCTGCCTTTTTATAGGTGGCTTAATTGAAACTTTGCTTAATTGAATTTGATTAAAAACGGAATTTATGGGATTTTAAGTGAGATGCCATACTTAAGAGAATGGAGCACAGTGCTTCACATAATAGTAAGCACTCAGTAGATTTTAGTGGTCATAATTGTTATAATTCCCTCAAGAACTGACACTTAAGGAGATGTAGGGGCCAAAAGAGCCCTCCTGGCAGAGGGACTAGAACATAAGAAAGTCCAGAGGGGCTGAAGAGGCTGTGGCCCTAATGGGACCCAAACAAACTAGGGAGGGAAAATCAGTCCCAGGTAGGGGCTGCAGAACTGGTGGGCCTAGGCTTCCTAGCTTTGGGAACTAGTTTGGGCTCCATCTAAAAGTAATTAGAGCCATAAAGGGCCGTAAGCTGAAGACCAATCAGATTTGTATTGTTAAAAAACTATTCCACAAAATCTTTACGACATTATTGATTATATTTCCCAAGAAATGGACGGTGTAGATGCTTGACCACTGCACTGTGCACCTGTAGCTGAATAATATTGTATGTCAACTATAATTTAATATATATGTAGTCACGGGATATGGAGTATCATATAGCGAATAGAGTCAATGGAATTGTAATAGATATATATGATGTTAGAGGGGAAATAGATTGTGGGAGGGGTTATCACTTTGTGAGGGGTAAAATGTGTATTACATTGTTTGGTACACCTGAAACTAATAAAAAAAAATGACAAGTAAAAAAAAACAATTAAAAAAAAATAAAAAACGATCCCAGCTGCCTCATGGAGAGTGGATACAGGGACAGTCCTTTTAAGGGGCTTGGCCATAAAGTAGGTAACCAGCACTGGGCATATTACTTAAGCTCTGTATGTCTCCGTTTACTCATCTATGACACAGATTCAATAATAGGACCTACCCCATAGGCTGTGGGGATTAAATGAGTTGCTATTTGAACAGCTCACAGCATATAAATGTCATTTTAAGTGTTTGTTAAATAGAATGCCCAAAGTCTAGTGGCAGAAGGCTAATCGCTTCCAGTTACCTCCTCCCCTCATCTGCCCCTGACGCTGAGCCCCTGGCTGCCTGGTTTCCAGATCGAGCTCAGCTTCCTTCGTCCCCTCGCCTGGTCCACATGGATGCGGCATATGGCTGGCCAGGCCTGGCTGGGCTTTCCCTCACCAGGACACCTGCACGGCACCCCACACAAGGGGCCAGGCCCCAGCCTCAGCTTGCTGAGGGCACCACATGCGCTTCCTGCTGTGCTGAACTAAGCAAAAGTCCTCCAGTAAACACCCTCCGCAAAGGGTGGTTACCCTGGCTGTAATTTACCTCCCCTGGCTCTGCTGACCTTACACTGGCTGCTTGCTGTCACCCAGACTGCCCTTGGTGTTTGAAAATAACTGGGAGACGAACTCTCCCGGGGCTATTGTCAACTCCTGTTTACTTTCTGTATTTGTAAAGGACACCTTTGAACTGAAAGGAAAAAAGTCAAATAATATGCAAGTGGCTTCCATCCAGCCTTTTCTTTAAGTCTAGTAAGGAGCCTTTCAGTGATCTTACACTTTACGAAAAGTTCACTTTAACTCTGTGAATTTCTTGTTTTTCTCCCTCTGCAGTGGATTTTTGTCAGTCACATTATACGTGTCGCTGGATTTTTTTTAATCATGAAGCTCTGCTAAGTATTAATGTTTCACAGCTACTTTGTTAACTTGCTATGAACTATCCAAGTTGAAAACAGTAGCGAGGATCTTAGGGTCAGCAGTATCCACACCAAAGAGTGTACACCAGGCCTGGGGTAGAATTTTCCTCAAGGGTAGCGACTCCTCTAGAACTGCAGTGGGAAAGGGAGCAATGGCACAGAAGGCTTCCTTGGAGTTTCTAATGCTTTATTAAGTTTGATGGCGGGCAAAAATTTTCATTTTATTTTACGTCTTTTTAAAAATGTGAAATAGTTTGTGATAAAACTGAAGTGAGTGCCAGGATGGGTTAGTGATATCCGCCCTGGGCATGACTGGTGTGTTTGTGTGTTGTCCTGGTCTTGTGGGGTCCGTCCTTGACTGAGGTAACAGAGCACTGTCCTCTCTACACATTTGTGTAGGAATTCACGTACCATTTATATGCACATACACAAATTCATTTTATCTCGTCGTATGTACAAAACGCAATGTAGGACTTTAAAAAATGTAAAGTGATTTTTTTCCCCTGTGAATATAATAAAAACCACTGGATTGTACACTTGAAAGGGGTGAATTTTATGGTATATGAATTATATCTCAATAAAGCTGTTAAAAATAAAATATTTCCAAGTACAACACCTTTTCAAAAAGTAAATATTTTTTCCTGATTATACAAGAAATACATACACATATAGGAAACTGGAAAAGGATGTATTAAAGTAGAAGGGAAAAAAATATACGCATATATACTAATAATACCACCCTAGAGACTGTTAACATTTGGCAATATTTTCTTTCATTATTTTTTCATTCCCATGCATGGATTATTTTGATATTGATGAGATCATTTCCATGTATTAAATTTTTCATCTTCCTTTCTTGATTTAACATTATAATATAACCATTTAAAATGCTGTTGTAAATTCTTTATAAACAATTGAATGCCTTGCAGTGAGCCACTGTGTGAGGGCATTATACGTTAATCATTCCCAGCTGTTAGACATTGCTCACTATGAGAAATAACACTGTAATGAACATCTTTGAGCAAAATCCCCATTGTCATATTTGGATTTATTTCCTTAAATGTATGCCAGATATATTAAAAGTTTTAAAATACATATTCTCAAGTTGCTTTCTATAAGGCAGACCCCTACCAACTTATAAGGCATCTTTGTTCAGGTTACAAACCTCTAGGCAGACATTGCCCTGGCAGTCCAAGCTTGGAGGTGGGTTGTGGGCTGTGTTATATCTGCTCACACTCTGTGCGGGTGCCCTAGTGGGGTTCACAACAGCACTGATGGATGGATGCTCATTTATATTCTTCCTATAGCTCACACACAGCACCTGTTTCAGAGAACCCAGATGAGCATTAGGTATTTGTAACCATAAAATCTTTCATTTATTAAGTGAAAAAATAGTATGTTGATGTTTAAATTTACCCTTTTTGATTATGAGAATGAACATTTATCCATATGATTGTTGGGAATTTGTATTTTCTCTTATGAGTTATCTGTTCACACTCATTTTTTTATGCTCAGTGTTTGTCATTTGGTATTTGCACATTAATTTGATTGCATATGATCTGTATCATTTGTTGTCAGTATTCTTTCTAGTTTGAGCTTATATTATTTTCTGAAAAACAAAAGGTTTTATTTTTATTTACAACAACCAAAGATTGATTTTCAGTTTACAAAGTTCTTCCCCATTAAACACATGACAAGTACTTATATCTTCTTTTTGTTTATTATTTCATTTCATTTTTACATTAATCTACTTGAATTTATGTATATTTTGATGAATAACATAAGGTGAGAATCTATTTTTTTCAAATAGTTTTCCTAGCACTATTTATTACATAATCTTTCCTTTTCCTAGTGATTTGTGTGTGTTCCTTGTCTTGTATTTAATTATGATATCTCCTGTGATAAAAATATTTTGCTGAGTTTAATACCAATAAAGATCACATTATTAATCTGGTTAAAGCACTGTCCATTCATTATATGTTTTTATTCCACTGTTAATATTTGTTTAAATTGACTTATTTTGAATGTAATAATTTTAACACTAGCATTTCTTTATACCTTGAATCAAAGTGAACTGGATATTTGGAAAAATTAAGATTACTCATTTCATAGAGACCATTTCATTTACTAATGACCCAGATTCAAGGCATTATACTTAATAGGTACTTGTATTCAATTTTAAGGCCTTGTTTCTTTTTTTGTTTATATTTTTTAGGGGTTGTTATCTCATATACTTTCATCATTCAGATTTGATATGAAAGAAGTTGGTCTTTTTACTCAATGTCTTGGGTATGCACCTGCAGATTACTATCCTGGTTTGCTTAAAAATGTGAGTATTTTAAATTTATTAGTATTGAAATTTTCATTGGTTAGTGTATCATCAGCAAAAAGAGTAAATGGAAATATTTCACTTCTCCAGGAGAGATGTTTAACTTTTCTATGTTTATCTCTTCTTACCTTGGGTGGACTTACAGCCATGTAAGGAAGAAATGTGAGATGGGAGATTATGAGAAGGAAGAAGAAAACCAGGAGAGGTTATTCTAAATCAACCAACCTCTTTGTCTCTTAATACATTTCATTTATTCTCTCTAAGATTTTTGTGAGAGAGAGTTCCTTAACCAATGTAAACATAGCCTTTTACTGTTAGACAAAATTTGTATTTAAAATAACCCGATTGGAATTTTGTGTTAAAGCAAAAAACTAAATAACCTTGCAAATACTATTATGTATTTACATCTTAGTATTAAAGCTATTTTCTTCTGCCTGAAATTTTAGCTAAATTCAAGAAATGTTCATTTATGATCTTTACATAGCTCTTCTAAAAGGTGTTATGAGACTTTTAATGTTTGTTAACTATTCTGGTCTCCTGGAAACTTTATACATGAATAGCATGTTTTAAAATAAAGAATTAAATTAAGAAAGAAAAATTAAGTAACTCTAACATGGCTTTATTTATAATGGGTTTAGTTTTAATTCTTAGGAAATTAATGATCTGTTGTTCATTTGCTTAAACAGGAATTTGGAATAACAGACGGTAAACATAAAATCCAAATTATTATTATTTTTTAAAGATTATATTGGGGAATTGGGGGAGGGGAACAGACAAGTTGCTGTCCTTTTTGTTCTTCAGTCCAGTTGTGGAGGACGTCACTTTACAGCCCATGTTGGTATTATTGTGCTCTTCCCGGGTGAGGCAGTCACTCACTGGCCATTGGATGGCCACTCACGGTGGCTTACGGCAGCTCACGAAAGCACATGCCAGCTGCCAGCCAGCTGCACAGCCTACACCATCGCCAGTGACTCACAGTCGAGCTGTTGTTCACCATCTTAGCTGTAGAGGACGCAGCGTCACTGGCCCACATGTGGGATCCAAACCGGGGCCCTGCTGCTCAGAGCTGGCATCCCAAGCCAACTCTTAACTAACGTGCCACTTGGCCAGCCCATAAAATCCAAATTATTAGTAAATGTAACTTGGCACTGCTTTTTTTCACTTTGACAAAGTAAAACAAGGAGAGGACGGGTGGAAGAGGGTAGGGAATCTCAACGGAAATACCACTCACACCAAGAAAAATAGAAGTGATGTAATCCTGTTTGCAGTGTGAGTTAACCTGTAACTGATTTTGTCTTACAGATGGTTTTATCATTAGTGTCTGAACTCAGAGAGAATCATCTTAATGGATTTAACACTCAAAGGCGGTAGGTGTCAAACTAAACATCCCTCTTCTCAGGTTTCAAAATATGTCATTTTGGTTATGAGAGAAAAATTTTGTAATTCTTAGGAAACGCATGTTCATAGTTATGGCTATATGCTGTGTGGCAAGATTATTTTAGTGGAACACATGGAAAATTGGTGTGTTTTATCAAACTTTTTAAAATCACTAGTCTCTCAATTCTCATAGGGCCGTAAATCATGTGATGTCTCTTATGCACCCATTGAGTTAAAATCCCTATATATACAGTAAGGGAACACAGAAGAAAGAAGGGCTCAGCTCAGTGTGTATGTGTAGAATTCACACATACACATACAGTCAGGATATTTACAAGGCAACAGATAACTTGATGTGTACATGTGACCTATATGACCTATTTTAAGAAACATGGTATTCTAAAATTTAGACTAAACAAATCTAACAGAGTCAGACAAATTAAAAGGCAATTAATCACATTACAGAATGTTTCTTCACTATGAGAAAGAATTCAAAGTTGTTTTAATTGGTGATCATTTCATTTTTAACAGGTCATTAAATAAGAGAATTTGGGGATCAAGGGCACATTGCGATTTTTTTTGTAAAGCTGTTGCCAATTAAAGATCTATCAGAAATGGTGTTTACCCTCAGCCTTTGCACCTAACCCTTAAAATAAACTATAAAATTCTTAGACAAAAACATGAGAAAGTCTTCATGACTTGATTTGGCAGTGATTTTTTTGGATATGACACCAAAACAATACAAAAAAATCAAAGATGAATATTGACACAAAAATCCTCAGCAAAGTACTAGTAAACCAAACTCAATGACACGTTAAAAAGACTGTGTTCCATGACCAAGTGGGATTTATTCTTAACGTGCAAGGATGGTTCAGTTTACAAAAATAAATCAGTGTAACACACCATATTAACAGAATGATGGACAAAACCACATAATTTCAATGGCACAGAAAAACTATTTAATAAAATTCAACACCCTTTCATGATAAGAACGTTCAACAAACTAGGAATATAAAGGTACTAACTCAGCATAATAAAGATCATATGCAAAGAGCCTATAGTTAACATTGAACTCAATAGTGAAAGACTGAAAGCTTTCTTTCTAAAATCAGGAACAAAGCAAGGATACCCTCCCTCACCACTTCTTTTCAACACAGTAATGGAAGTCTTAGCCAGAGCAATTAGGCAAGGCAGAGAAATAAAAGACATCCAAATCTAAAAGAAGGAAGTTAAATTATCCCTGTTTGTAGATGACAAGATCTTAAATGTAGAAAACCCTGAAGATTCCACAGAAAAACCCTCAGTCAATCAATTCAGTAAAGTTGCAAGATACAAAACCAACATTCAAAAATCAGTTGCATTTCTATACACTAACAACAAGCAATCCAAAAGGAAATTAAAAAAAAACAATCCCATTGACAGTAGTATCAAAAAGAACAAAATACTTAGGAATAAACTTAATCAAGGAGATGAAAGACTCGTGCACTGCAAGCTACAAAACATTGCTGAAAGAAATTAAGTATGACACAAATAAGTAGAAAGGTATCCTGTGTTCATGGATTGGAAAACTTAATGTCCATACTACCCAAAGCAGTCTATGGATATGATGAAATCCTATCAAAATCCAAATGGCATTTTTCTTTTGCAGAAATAGAAAAAACGATCCTAAAATTTATATAGAACCTCAAAGGACTTCAGATAACCAAAACAATCTTAAAAAGAAAAAGCTGAAAGCCTTACACTTCCTGATTTTAAAACATATTTCATGATAGATGATTGGATAAAGAAGATGTGGTATATATACACAATGGAATACTATTCTGCCATAAGAAACAATGAAATAGAGACGTTTGTGACAACATGGATGGATCTTGAGATTAGTATGCTAAGTGAAATAAGTCAGACAGAAAAAGTTGAGAACCATATAATTTCACTGATGTGTGGTATATAAAACTGAAAACAACAAAGGAACAAGACAGACAAAGGAAGAAATAAAAACTCATAGACACAGATAATAGTTTAGTGGTTACCAGAGGGTAAGGAGGAAGTGGGGTGGCAGATGAGGGTAAAAGGGATCATATATATGGTGATGGAAGGAGAACTGACTCTGGGTGGTGAACATACCATGTGATATATAGATGATGTATTACAGAATTGTACACCTGAAACCTATGTAACGTTACTAACAATTGTCACCCCAATAAACTTTAATTAAATATACGTGTGTGTGTGTACATATACGTGTGTGTAGATGATGTATTACAGAATTGTACACCTGAAACCTATGTAACGTTACTAACAATTGTCACCCCAATAAACTTTAATTAAATATATGTGTGTGTGTGTTTGTGTGTGTGTGTGTGTGTGTGTGCGTGTGTATATTTCAAAAGTTTGCTACTGGCATAAAGTCAGACCCATAGACCCATGGAAAGAATATCCATAGTATGTCATTTCTAATATAAAATTTTAAAACACTCAAAAACAATATATACTTATAAAGTAAAAGTGTTAAAACTAGACCAAAGAACCTACACCAACTTCAGGGGAGTCCTAACTCCTGGGAAGTGGAAGAGGAAATGAGATTGGAGAACGGTGTTCCAACTGTATTTGAAACATTTTATTTATTTAAAATGTCAAATAGAAATATTAATAAAATGTTAGCATTATAAAATCTGGGAAATGGGTACACAGGTGATACTACAATAATCCTGTTTCCCTGTACATCATCAGTATTTTATAATTAAACTTTTAAAAACTAAAATACAGTGTTACCTAGTAAAATACTGAAAATGAAAAGATAATATTCGTAATAAAGGAATTTTTTTCCTACCTCAGGGTCTTGTTTTCAAAATAGCAGGTGTAGGGCCAGCCGAGTGGCGCGTTGGTTAAGAGCTGGCTTGGGACGCCAGAGGGCCCCGGTTCGGATCCCACATATGAGGGCCAGTGACACTGCCCACTACAGCTAAGATGCTGAAC